TATATATATGTGTATATATATATACAACGGTGATGCAAAGGGAAACATGGATTTCAGAACTACTGTCCGATCCTGTTTGATTTTGGTTGAAAACCACTCGGCGAGAAATTTCAACCGAAAATGTTGCATCTGGAGGTGACTCAAAGCGTTCGAACTTTTCAATACATCAATAAACTGAATGTTTATTTTTGTTGCTTGATTTTTCAATTTTTCCCCGACCTTTATAGCAGTAATTAAGAATAATTCATTTTATTGTGAGAAAACTGAGTGTGGCAAATGAATCACACCTCAAGTTGTGTCAGCTGCTCGAATTTTTCAATATAGCAGTACGTGCTTATTGTTGTCGAGCGTTCCCACTCGTTGTTCGTTTTTTTTTGGGGGGGGGGAGGTTTTACTTTTCGGATTTTCATGTACAGGCAGAAATGATTCACATTTGTTGAGAAAAAAACAATTCTTATGAAATTTCAACGAAGAAATATTGTGAATGAAGCTCGCTCGAAGTTTGCAATTCTTCTTAAACAACCCTTTAAACAACCCTTCAACTCCACAAACAGTATTTCTAGTTGAAGTTGAAGTGTTTTAAACAACCCTTCAATTTCAACTAGAAATACTATTTATGGAGCTCATGCCCAGGCGAGCTCTGCATGCATCATTTTTAGCTGAAATATTTTTAAGCAGCATTTTAAAGCACTTTTGCGATCATGAAAGGTTTGAAGAACTCGTGCAGTGCGGGATATTGTGTGATTGCCGCGAGATTTTGCAACGACCGAGTTTTAGTATGCTGGAATGAATCGTTTTAACTTGATGTCGGAGATAACAACAAAAATCTGAGCAACAAAAAGGAACGTTCAGTTTGTTGCTATACTTAAAAGGTCGAATGCTTCACGTGCAACATTTCAAGTTGAAATTTTGCATGGAAGGGTTTTAACCAACGTAAATCACAAATGACTAGTACTTTTGAAAATGGAATTAAGATTTCTTTGAGCCACCTTACCTTTGCATCACCTATATGAATGCGGCTGAACAATGTCTGTACAAATAATCACATATATGAAACAAATTCTGATCTAGATTCAGTTGATAACTGCATAACAAATCGCTCAAAACTTTATGCGAACATCATCGTCATCCTCGGCTACCAAAAGCACTTCCCATTCATCCACTAACCGGTAACAATATCAAGAGAATGAAACTTCATCACAACAACCATCAAGAAATTGGACTATTTTTAATGTCTTGCCTTTTCAAACACTCGGCTAAGTTGATAGTGTCGCTGTGCGAGAGACCGATCGTACTGCTAAGCGACCGCAAGAATTGTGCATATTTTTGATTGGTTGGGCTGCAAAAACAATTGCTCTTACAGAAAGCTTGTAAGAAGAGTGTCATTACAATTTATCCTTTCCAAGAACAACAACCAACAGCCATTCAATCGTTTTCAGAACCTCCCGGAGGGCACTACAGGTTTCCATCATATTTATACATTTATCATCTCATGAGTAGTGCCGACTGCATTATTGGATTGCACAGATCTAAGACAATTTGCTCCGCGACAATGTGCCACTCCGACAATTTGCGCGTGCCTCATCATTGAGTAGCATGGTGCTTTTGTCGGAGTTACACTTGTTGTAGATGCATTTGTCGGTCACCCGGATTACGGAGGTAGCAAAAGTAGAAGACTGCTAAGATTCTAAAAGCTCACTTCGCTAAATATTGTAGAATAGACGTCTTTAAATGGGTCGAGCCAGCTGGAGCGTTTCCACCGTAGTTGTAATTGACAGCTTTCCTTGATGAGATCGACTCATTGCTGGACGATTCGGCACCTCCTCTCCATCCAACTTGCTTGAGCTCACCGATTCGTTGCTGCTGTGCGCGTATTGCAGCATCTCGATCCGCGATCATTCCTTCCAAATCAAACACCTTGCTTTCCCACTGCAACTCAAGTATATATACTTTCAGCCTGGTTACTCATAGAACTCTCTCTATAAGTGCTGCACATTGTTTGAAGATTTGCAAATATTCCTTTCGCAATGATCAAATGTTAAGAAGCAAGTAAGATCGGGGAATTTCAGTCAAAATGATAAAGAGTAGCAGTAGCGGAAATAACGATATGAATCTGACTGATCTTGATTTGATACACTGTTTTGATTGACTAAACATAATTTATCTGAGTTGTGATTGTAATTGTTATCAGAATGAATAATGGAGTATGTTCGTTAAATAGCCATCACGCAAACTATCTGTGAACAATTAAGGTTAGCACCGCTAACCTGCTGAACAATCTCCGAAATACTTTCGCCATTGAGAAGCATCCTTTGTAAATCAAGTTCCCTTGTGACATCGTTCAGTTCAATTGACAGTCGTTCTCTCTCAAGAGACCATTCGCGTTTCTCATAATCCATCCAAAATAGAAACTGTTTCATTAGGATATATATCAGTGCTGCTGTTTCAGCAACGAATAAAATTATATAAGAAGTGTTACACTAAACTAGCAACGTTCATTCAACACAACCACGAGCAATTTTAGAGGAGCACTATTAACTTCTTAGTGAATCATTGTAGCTGTTCAATGAATACTTGTAAGCTAGTTGCCTTAGAATACTAGAATTTGTTCTTGTCTTATGCTACCTGATGTATCAACGAAGCATTCTTTAAGAGCAGTTCACTACGTTCTTTGGCCATCTTCCGAACCTTGTCGCTTTCAGAAATCGCCTCATCTCTAAACATTACCAAACGAATATGTGATCATGCAACAACAAAATATGATCGTATCCGTTCTTATTTCTTTTGGAAGTAAGTTCATGGGTATTGACTTACAGTTTTGTTGCCCACTCATTGTGCAAAACCAATCGTGAACTGCAAACCTTGAGCGTATCTCAAAAAAAAAGACCTTCAAGGTAAAATGAAGAACTGAGAAATATCGAAATTTCAAATTTCCGAAGACATTACCTGATCACTTCGATAATTTCTTGTTGATGCTGACTGTTTTTTTCGAGTGCATTGATTCTTTTTTGGAGCGTTTTGATTTGTTGATCTTTTTCAGTTATCTTCCGATTCGCAATATCCAACTGTCCAGTCTTTTCGGCTAGTTCGCTATACAAATCATCAATCTTAATTGGCGTTGGAGTGGTCTTCTGAAATTTCCATTACATCTTATCTCATCTATAAGATAAAACAGTCAATAGCTTGCTTGCTTAGAAAAGAGTACATCGCACATCTTAAGTGCTATCGATGGATGCATTTGCTGAAAATTTCGAACAAAATATGAAACACTACATTCAAATGCATAGTGTTTGCACGAGATCTCGGTAATACCGAATATCGGTATTAGAAAAGCGATACCGATCTCGGGATTCGTGGTGTCGATATTCATGGTATTCATACCACAAGTCATTTTAAGTGAATTTGGTAATATATCCATCACGACTGGAGCATGAGTCATTTTTGTTTTTTGTTGTATTTTTTGATGAATTTCTTGAGCTTTAGTGAGTGATTTGTCAAATAAACTGCTTTCTGACTAATTATGAACAGATTGGCTCAAAAAGAATGTGTTGAACAGGTCACATTTCTATACTTCAAAAGGTGTTTTCAATACCGGTATCGTATCGGTATCGAAAAACGATACCGTTATTAATACTGATCTCGGTATTGAGAAAATGGTCGATATTTTTCAAACACTACAAATGCAGTGGCGAGTCTTTGAAGGATAACTTCATGAGTTCGTTTCGATTCTTATTCTCAGTTTCTTTCGTTTTTCATGACTGCGTTCCGTCTTAATGCCTGCTCGAAATGAATCAAAACATTCAGATATTCTCATTAATTACCGCAGATTTGTGCATATTCGCAATCGTAGACGCTGGTTGGAAGATGTTTCGGAATGGTTCAGAGATGATCACGTTACCCGCATGCACTGATCGCACGATAGCCTTGCCTAATTTTTTATCGTTGGCATCCTCGCATACAATTGAAGTGGTAGAAGTTGAGTCATTCTAAACATTGATGGATTCGAATATTTTAGTGTTGCAAGCAAACTGTGCTGAACAAAGTTTTTGAATTGGTTTGATTGCAAATGAACGTCTTATGTCTGAGATGGGTTGCTTTCATTCAACTAAGCTCACAAACAATCACTGAAGATAAACCTCATCTTTGAGAAGACCATTACTACGTTGCGATTTGGTCGCATTATTGGAACTGTTGTTGTTGTTGCTTAGATTGTAATTCATTGAACTTCCACTTTTCGAGCGTAAACCAATCGCAGGCAATCGATTATTGCTGTAAATCTCATTTGCATGTTATGTCTAAACATCAATTCACCACAAATTCGATAAAACAATTCATTACTTATTACTGTTCTTTGCAGGAATTACCATCCTCAACGATTGATGATTCGAATGTTCTATTTCATTAATGCTACTATATATTGTCAAGTTTGTGTCACTGATTTTGATGGCACAACAGCGATATAGTTCTCTTACATTTATTTTATAAAGACATTTTTCTGAAGCAAAAATTTTCTTCCTAAATAAATCCATAAATAGACACGTGATAGAGAGTCAGTATTTGGACGATTAACGAACTTTGAATTTTTAGCTGAATTGTTGCTTATATTCGTTGAATTGAATGCAGGATAGAACGATGATGCAGAAGTTGAAGCGGACGAAACGAGAGAAGAGGTTGATGCTATTAGGGCTGATGTCGATCGCATTTCACTGTCTGAATTGTACATCATGCTGTTAGAATAGTATTATAATATCAACGATGATAATCGTAATGAATAATAACAATGTCAAATTAGCACTAATAATATTTTAAATAATATTAGTGAAAATAATAATATTATTATAAAATAATAATTTTAATGACGATATTGATTTCTAAAAAATAATAAAGAGCAGGACGAGTCTCTAGCTAGCATGAAATGTAAAGAAAAACAGTTGCAATAATCGCTGCACATATTATCGAATAATGATTATGTGTTGATTGATTTCGTTTAAGTATGACTGCATTAACAGAACGTTATTAGGATGAGTTGAATTCATCTGTTCATCCTTTAATAAATTAAGCACTGAGATTGCCATGAAGTTCATTAAGCTTCTTACTGTTGCGGACAGTAAGAAGCTTGTGACGATTTATGCACTCATTAACGGCTATCGGTCACTCACCACTTGCCACCTCACAGATCAGATTCAACTCGTCGTCATCACTCGATTGATGAACGTTCTTGGTTTTGCTGATAGCATTCTGTAAACGATTTACTCAAGAATTAAAATATGATATTTTGAATAAACTTGTAACAATCACTAAGCCTCGAATTTATTCATAAACCAAGATTGCACTACTCCAATCAACGTTTGAATTTTCATCATACAAATAATTCAGTTGAGAAATTGTTTATTCATCATCAAGTTATCTGAATAGATCATACAAAAGTGTGTAATTTCCATAACCTAATCATCAATGCCATCGGAAAACATCACTGATGAGACAGAAATAAAAATTTCACCGAAGCTGTGGGTTTAGATGGTGCATCAGGTTCTCCTGCATCCCAGAAATCAATAGTTGCTTCCATACATTCATCGGTATCATTCGCAAGAGGATTCATCTCTCGGACGATTCGACCGGTGATATGCTGTCTATTTGAAAAGGCTTTGCTCGCAACATCTTTGTCTGCATTTTGCACACTTGGCAGCATTACTATTGATTAATCTAAGATTATGATCATTAGTAATGTATTACCATCACTTTCATTCTGATGTTATTGCCTGAATTTTAACTAATTTTTATAGACCGACAATTAAGGGTGCTCAAATTGAGCAATCACAAATTTTGGGGCGATGAACGTGGAGCAATCAAGGATGTAGAAGTGGAAAGAATAATTCAGAGTGAAATAAACCAATGAATAATCAAAGCATAGCAACTGGTGGGATGGCATGGCCGCCGCATTGCATTATTCTGGCATGCTATGACTATTTAACGAACTTATTTTTTGGTTGCGATCAATTCGCATCAAATCACTGAAAACGAATCGCAAGAACAATGCATTCTTATCTGAATCAAAAATGGAATATGGTAGAGTGGGTAGATATTCAAGTGAAACTTGACTGCATTCATCCATCGATACTCTTTTGCAGAGCATGCGATTGCTACCAGATGATGAAAAATACGAGATAAATAAATTCAGCAGTTATTATTATTATTATTATTATTATTATTATTATTATTATTATTAGTACTATTATTTATATTATTATCATTGTTATTGTTATCTTCATTATTATTGCTATGATTATCATATTGGGATAGTGAATTGTTGATTGAAAAATGATTAGTTTGTTGTTTTCAAAGCTATTTATTTCATTTGCAATATATGAATAATCTCAGATTCAATTCAGTGATGAGTGCTCAGTGATTGTGAGAAGAGAGGAAAAGTCATTGATAAATGAATGGAGTCGAGCCGTGATGATGAGCAAAGAGCATGTGCGGAAACGAAACTTGATGCAAGAATTAGCAATGTAAAAATCGATAAGAGAAGAGATGGATCGTGGATGTTGATTAGTGGATAGTTGTGGAAATGGGAATGAATGGTATACGAACGGTGCTAGGAAGCGTTCAAATGCGCCGAATAGCAGCCAGTGAAAGCGGTGTGAATGTGCAAGATGAGAGGCGTTTGTTGTATTAGTTATTTTAAGTAATTGTTCTTATGGTTGTTGTTGTTGCTGTGTGTTTTTTTTGCATACACTTGATTGTTATCAAGAAGAAACATTCGTTTTTTTTTGCTATACGATTGCACTCCAGCAAACATTCACCACATACACCTTTAACTTACGGAAAATCATGAATGAAAGCTTGTTGATGTAACAGCTACTCACCGAGTTGATGGATTTTGATGGGATTTGAAGGAACGAAATTAATACTCATTTTACGAATGGTAAGTTTCATAGACGAATAAAAAGAGCACGATTTTTTTTAATTTTTGTGGTAAGCGAGATTGATTTACGCAGCTATTATGGTTATGCAGTCGTTGTGACTGTTTTTTCGACTGTAAATGAAGGAAGCTTTTCTGACAAAGGAAAGCTATCATTTTACAATGCAGTCTACGGTCGGAAAGTCAGCTGTCGGTTATCTTCATTTGAATTTACTCGTGAACAGTTAACTATCAGATTGTTCTTACTGAATGATTCGTTGATCTCTTCAGGTTATCTTTTCAGTTGAAGGATTCTACAAATTTACTCAGTTCGTACGAATGTGTAGAATCCTTCAAAATTTTTTCGGTTGTTAGTGATGAAATTGAATTTGTGGTCGAGTAAATTTATGAAACATCCACAACTTCATTTATCACGCTCCTTCACTTATTTCCGAATCATTTATCTATCAACTACGAACAAATACCATCGTCTGAATGCATTACATGATGTAGTGTTCCGTCGGAAATATTGCTCAAACATCAACACGATTTCACACCAGCATCATTCAAAAAGCGATAATGCTTTCGGTTGACTGTGATGCAGTTGCTTGTTTGGAGTGACTTTTAGTTTATAGAAATAAAAATTTTGAGAGAAACAATGCATTAATTTAACATAATCGCACACACAATGTAAATTTAAATTTTTAGGAAATTTAAATTCAAATTTTTAAGTTTAAATTAAAATTTTTCAATTTAAAATTTTGTTTACGAAAAATAAAAGGCTCGAGATGTGGAATGAGATGTGAAAGACGTTTGATAAGCTTCATAGATCGAACAATGCAGAAGAAATGTCCAATTACACGAAATCTTTCTAAAATCGATCAGTATCAAAGTCATCTAGTATACTGTGAATAAATATGTACTAATCTATTATGGTTACTATAATTACATTGCGCAGAGATAAATGACAAATTAAAAGCAACTAATGGAAATTCAACGTTATGCAAGGAATTAATCATATTCTTTACCACAACTATAATGTTAATAAATCGTTGTTGTGTTGTAATGCCATAAATCGCCCAATATGAAATGTAGTTCGATAGGGTTGACGTTTGCGTCGAAATGCTTGGCACTGATAAATCCTATGCTAGAAGTTGATGACACGTTATAATCAAATAACGTATTTCAAGAGAGTGCAGTAGTGATTCGAAAGTCGCAGTAATCTTTATACGAAAACACACATGTAGTTTCGATCATCTGAATGGTATTTTATCGTATACTTCAAAGTTAAGTTGTTCGTCTGTTTAACGTATACCTTCCAGTTTTTGTTTTTCGAACATCTTAAACTATTCATATGGTTCATCAATGAATCATAACCTTGTGAATGTCAAAATAACATGAATTATAATTTTTCTCAAAACAAAAATTCTATCAAATTTCCTGTCAGGTATTTTCACCTTTTGCCACCTTACAATTAGTATTATTGCAAGCGTTCGACAGCATCCCAATGCATTTAATTGTAATTGATGAACGAAACTAGCAAAAAACACAAAATGCATTATTATTCCACGCGTTACTTTGGAGATGCACCGAATAAGAACTAATGATGAGGTGAGTCATGATGAATAACGTGATAAAATAATGAGAAACTTACAAAACATTCTCTCGATGATGTTACATTCACTTATGGAACGAAAAAGTATTTTTCAGAACAGAATAAAATTTTGAACTGACTTAAAATATTGTGACTTATTTGCGAGGAATTTAAAAAATTGACAATCACTGGATCGTACGAGTAACATTTTCAGACAAATTTTTCATTAATTAATAGGGATTAATCTATTGCGTAAATAGGAAAGCAATGAGTTAGTTAGTTATAATAATTGATACAACAATGGATGAAAGTCATTAAATGCGAAATGCATGGCAAATAGAATAGTGTAACAAGTTTGCAGTGAAAAATAAACTATAGTTGTTGTATTAGAGGCAGGCAAAGTTTGATTAGAACGGTATAGGTTAAGAGGATAGGTTACGAGGTAATTGTAAGGTGAATGAGTGAATTGTCGAACGAACGTTGATTGATAGAAGAATAGAATAGCAGCAACATCACAACCGGTTTTACGAACGCAAATGTCATATCGGATTTTTGAATTTAAATGCCTTTATTATCAATCTCTAACACATTTAAATCATATTCAATAAGTACAACAAGATATGCATTATTCTCATCTATCACAAGTGATTATTTGAATCAAAAACCTTGTTTAATCATTTTTAATT